GGGGAGCTTTGTTGGAGGAGCTGGGGGGTTGAGGAGAGGTCCATCTGAGCGCAGAGAGCGAACAGGGGGCACCAACTTGGCCTGATAAGCTGTATTATAATGCAGCTGCACAGTTTCTAATGTATTTTTCAATGTTCTACAAATTCAACAGATTAAAGGTGCAATGTGCAACTTTTCTGGTGGAGGATCTGTCACCTGCTAGTCATGGAGATGTTATTGCTTTGCCTGGAATGTTCCATGGTGTAGCATTAAACACATCTACCTAGCATTTATTCATTATGTGTGTTTCTATTGCTCAAAAATACAATAATTCTCTTTGTGAATAGGGTTGCCTCTCCACAGATCTGACCTGTAATGTAGCCTATAGTTGTCTCCCTTGAAATAGATACCGTGTAACTTTCTAGACAAAGCAATAACACCTCAGTGAAGACAAGCAGGTGACGGACCCTCCACCAGAAAAGTTGAGCAATGCATCTTTAAGTTTCCAGCTGAAAGCAGACACATTGCAATTATGACTGAATGATGATATATATGGCAGAACGTATACAATGAGGTCATGGGGGTAATATGAGTTGACGACCCCATTTCATTGAGTGGTTGGCAAAGCAAATGATTCATAGAGCAATTTACCACAAATTCTAAGCAAACAAGATAAAGTTGCCCAAAATTTGGACCGGTCCACAAACCCTTTATGCCAAAAGTGAGAAAACAAATGACTTCACCCTTCCTAATCTACAGAAGAAGGACTCCATATCAGGTATTGCTAGATGAAAACTAAAAGTGATTTTCTTTCGTGCTTAAAATAAAGAGAAGTTTCAGATTTAGAAAATTTTGAAATTAACTTCTACAAGCAGTTAAGCAACAGAAGATATCAGTCCAATTCTAAATATGTGGGTACTAGTAATTGCACACATTATAAGTATATTTAAATTATATTACACAATTTCCTGAACTATATAATGTTGTTTCCTCATCACAAACATACATAGTTGTGTTTTGTTTCATGCACATGTGTTTAACACAGAAATCCTACATATTTATGCTGAGTTCATCTCTCAAACTGAAAATACTCCACTTGTGATAATACAGGTAATAGGAAGTGATCCTGTGTTTTTAAACTCCATACACCTTCACTAGAATCATTTGGATGATTTCAGCCCTGAAATTGCCAATCTCTACTGAACTAAAGGTAAAAGGTGGGTGTTAACTTGAAAACTACTGCTTGATGACATCACATGACAAGGAGGAAAAGAGCATTTTAAGCTTTGGAGATGTAGACAAACTAATAAAAAAGGATTATTCAAACATGTGTGAATGAAACTCCAGCTATGTTTTTGATGTGGTAACAACATTCTAACATGGCTTAAAGCTCACAAGAGTCAATTTTGTGTAACACTGGACCTTTAAGAGTTAAATGAAATAAAAGAAATTAGTCCAATACAAATTTTACGTCTACTTGTAATAGCATGCACCAGTGAGATATAATGAATTCTAATAGTGTACAGAATAGTTATCAACAAATATAAAACAACTTGCATACACAACTTCACATTCAAATCAATATGTGTATTAAATATAAAGCAGTACAGTGTGCAAGAAACATAAATATTGAAGTAACAGAAGTAATTTGGGTGATAAAACTTCCTCTGTGGAGCCACACTTCGCTCCCCAGCCCTCCCCACTTCCCCTGCAGAAGCCCTGGTGTGGTGGGGGCCCCTATTGTGCTGAGGCCTGCTGCTGAAAGAAAGGGTCCTTTGGTGGTAAACAATTCAGCTGTCCACTCTGATCACAATGGGGGCACATCCCTTTGCTTTGAGCATCTGCTTGGAGTAGGTATCACCACTCGCCCAGTGCTGACCATATCCCAACCCGGTGAGCGCCTAAATCCCCCCAATGTGCTGCCCCTACTGCCACCTGCTCTTGGCCTCCCCTCCTTTTATTATTTGGATCAATACTGTGGACTCCGCTGCAGTGTCTCTCAAAAGGAGCTGAATAGGCGCGTGTTGGCTGTTTAGCGGGATTGCATGCTTTCAAAAAAGTGTGTTGAGAGTGGGCTCCAACTGTATGAGCTCATTAAGCCATGCAAGAGAAAAAGATGCGTTACAGGCATGACAGGGCAGCTGTGTGAGGGCTGTAGGGCTCTGCAGCTGCTGGAAGCGCAGTGTGGCCTGTTATCTCCCCCTGGTGGACATTCTGGGGATTGACGGCCTCTTGTAAACAGGCAGTTTTATGGACCATATTTTTTTTCATTATGTTTTTGAAATCGATTGCTAATGTGACAAACTTTGTATTTTATACACTGACAGTAGATATTGTCAGACTAGGCTGAGTAATGTGTCATGAGCTTATTATATCAAAAAGCTTTGCTCATCAGTAAATACATTAGTAACAAGTAGTAGTGTAATAATGTACATTAGAAAATGTACATTACATTATAACATTAAAATCTTTCATAAATTAAATAGAGTAAAAAGAAAAGCAATATGGCCACATGATCTCCTGGCCAGCATGTTTTTTTATATAGCACCAATAATATGATACTTGTTCCTCCCATATGTTGTGCTGCTATTCCACCCATACCGCATTCTGCGTGTTTGGTGTTGAATGACACTTTTACTGGATTCCCTCCAACACTCGCCTCCATTTGCTTCTGAGGGTTAACAGAGAGCACACTCTGTGCTGGGGAAGCGCTAATCAGCTCGGAAACATTTGCTGCCCTTCTGGCAAGGTCACCGGGTCACGGTCCTGGGGCTGGATGTCCACTGCTCCCCTCGCTCCTCCCCCTACCCTGTAAAGCCCGGCCCCCTTGGGGCCCATAGGCCCTGCAGGCACAATCACTGCAGTGTGACTATAGGCTCACACAAGCCGCTTTAATCTGGTTCTGCCCTGGGATGGACTGCGGCTGTCTGTCCATCAGAGCCCTGGGTTTGCCTTGACCGGACCAGAGCCATGGACTCACACGGGCCAGTGCTGGGCTCCGATTGGTCCACAGAGGGGTCCACGGAGCCCCTCCCGCTGTTTGACCAGCTGATTGATCTGTTAACTCTGGCTGCTGGACGTGTGTCCCTGAATTTAATTTCAGAATTCATTTGTGGGAGCAGTGTGTACAGACATGATGTAGAGTCCAGGTCCATGAAGGATTGAGGGTCCAACAGAAATATAATTCTAATTTAGGTTTTCTCAGTTCTGATGAAATATATCTGGAACATGTCTGACAGAAACTCTCCTCAGAACCTACCGACTATTTCATCTTCCTATTCCAAAATTACTTTTGGTATCCACACATTTGAAGAATTTGAAGTTGTGCCAAGCCATCACATAAATATTCTTTGTAAACTAAGCCACCTTCAAACAGCATAAAGAAAACAAGAAGCACCAAGAAAGCTTTTTCTATAATGAAAATATCAATTCATCAAATAATTTTAAAAGTCATATTAGGAAGTGGTCAAGAGGTGCAGGGAGACAAGTACTAACACAAACCCACAACACCAAGATGAGCGGCACAGAGTGCAGCAGTTTTAAATTACATAGAGTGAACACTATCTATGTATGTTAGTTATGATGTACTGCTGTAGAAATGTTGTAGCATGCAGACACAATTCTTCAGATATTGAAATGAAAGAAAACATTGTAAAAACTCAATAAAACTTACACTTTGCTCAACTTTACCACTTATCAAAGAGGACATGTATTCTTTTTTATTTTCCACAATTGAAATGCCTCTTGCTTTTGGCTGCATTTTATTGGCTCATTCTAGTGATCTACTGTATTACTTTTATACCTTCTACATCTTGAGTCTGAGGTTATCTACTTCACAAAGGTGCCTTAACCGCCTCTCGCTTTCATCACTTATCGATACCGCACTTCTGTCAAAATAATAAAACGCGCTGAAAGATGGAACTGGAGGTTAGCTAACCCTGACTCATTTCACAGCTCATAAAGACTGCCAATGTGTAGCTGCCATAATGTCCACTGTACTACCAGAAAAAGCCATAAAAATAGCACAAAGACGATGAAGTAAACGTGAGACAATGGCTGTGGCGGCGAGAATGCCTGGCCTGATTTGATGGACTCTGGGTTTCTCCCCCCCTCTGGCGGCCGGAGAGGGGGCACTGCTTGGATATGCATCACAAAGGCTTCCTGCCGTATTGATCGGCTCTGGGTTAAGGCAGTCTATCAGCAAATGTCCCTCTCTGTGGGAAAAACAATAGGAGATTAAAAACACACAGCCGGCCGGGCGGGAGGCTGCTGATGGGCCCTTATCTGAGGCCCAAAGGTCACTGTGTACAGATATAATCCACTTTCACTTAACAGCTTCATTTAAGGCACCTCACATGCAAATAATGGCATTTGGGGTGCTCCTTCAGAGATAAACGTAGTCGAAGCAGAAGAGAGGAGCTGGAGTGGATTTTTCAAGTCTGAATGTGATGTGGTGTGGTGTTTTTACAAACAAGAAGTGGTTAAATTTTAAAAAGTCAACAGAAGTCTTCTTCCTGATTCAAAGACTGAAGCCCTGAGCACAAAGTCTCCAAGCGCTCAATGCAGGAGACCACGACAGAAACTCAGATACAGCAGAAAGTTAGGGAAAGTATATTGTGCAAGTTAGTTCCCTGTGGCTCACTGTAGTCAACTAGTGCTGCCCCCACAAAAACTCATTTTTACTAAGCACAAGGCTCAGTACTCAAACTAGTAGGCATGCGACTTTCTGGAACTGTAGGATGTAACTCACCAACATGTAACCCTTTTTTGCACATGGAAAAAACATCTCAAGGAATAATTTTTATCTTGTGCGCATGGTCTTCTGGCAGTTTTGTTGTGGCATGAGATCTTGTACCATCCCTATTAACTAGTGATGTTTTTTCTGTAGCAAGATAACTCTGAAGATAACGAGAAACGCATTATATGAAGTGTTAACAAAACTCATATTTATTCATTAACATTTTAAATTATAACGATTACAATTAATAAAAATATTTAATTGAACTTTTTCCACTGTGAACTTAGTGTTATGAATGTGTGCTTAAAAACATAAAACTTCAATCAACAAATGTACTTAAAAATATGTCAAATATTCAGTAGAACATAGCTGTGCGTGGTCAGTAACGCTCCTTGGGCTCACTGAACTTGCGTTTCTTCTTGGGGGCAGAGGAGCAAGGTGTGTCCTGGCTGTTGATGATTTCAAATGCCTGTAGACAATAATAGAAATATTTAGTTGGTGTATTTGTTCACTCAGAAGAAAAATCTAATGAATGAGCTGTATATAAATATGTTTTATAATGTCAGTTTGAAGATGTATCACCAGTTTGTCCTTTGGAGTGCTCAGGTGTTCCATGTTCACTTTAGATACCTGCAGCAAAACACACACCTAAGACCAAGGCCTTCATATGTATTTTACACTCTGATACTGCCTATAATAACATCAGCTGAAATTGTAAAATTACTTGACAATACTGTTAGAGGCTTCTAAAATAATTTACAAATTATTAGTAACTATTATTAGCTGTGATTATAAGACTAGAAACTGTACATACAAATGGACATAGCTAACCCACTAGCTGCCACAACTTAATATTGAAAAAATGTCACTCTTCTCTCTGTAATTGCTGCAGTGAGCCTTGTCTTTTTGGTCTTAAAATGTTCATATTAACCTGCTCTACATGATCCTGGTGTTTTTATTTTGCTATTTTGTCAGTAAATAAATTCACATTCCTAATATGGGACTCAAAATTTGCTCCTGCATCGTGAGCTTCATTAGACTAGAGCCAAACGCTATGGGTGACAACACACTCCCTTAGTGCAGTTGTTTATTCATTCTGTCACACACCCCTCTCATTTACAGTCAGCAGTGGTGAGTGAGGGCTGTTCATAATCTCACACAACAGCAGGGACTGACCGTGGAGGAGGTGGAGGTGGTGGAGGAGATGATACGTCCACTCCTGGTCCTCTTCAGTCCCACCTCGATGTCGGAGGTCCTCTTCACCAGAGTGTCCATCTGAGAGGGACAGATGGGCCATCGTGCCCCACTCTTAGGCCAGTGAGAGCCTCTCACGCTCATGTTTACACACTAACGACACTCTACAGGCTTTATGGACCACCCAACCTCAACACAAACACTATTTAACCATTTAAATATCGTAAAATCAATTGGCTGTATTCTTTACTTCTAACGATAACAATAGGGCTGAGTTGTAGAAGAAGTAACAAGTACGTAAGTTATTAGCAGTGTTATTGGGAGTTATTAGCAAAATCATAGTCTTTAAATTGTTATATCATCAGAATGTGCAAAATTTCAGAATAGAACTGACTTGTTAGCATTTTTTCTTATATATGAACTACAAAAACACTCTTTTGTAGCCTGTAAATTGTACTTTAGTGTGAATAACAGTAGCATTGGAGGTCAAATATATAATAAATAAATAAATACAAAGAAAATCTGCTAAACATTTCTATAAGTATTTGTCCAGTAAAACCTAAAAATCTGGATTTTAACTTTGCTAAACATGTACATTAATTACTATTAAATAAACAAATTTGCTTTTCTATTCATGAAATTAGTAGTAGTAGTTGTAGAAAGTATCTATCTATCTTACTTTTCTGTTAAATTTGATGCTGACGTTTATATAAAAAATAATAATAATTTAGTAAAATGTCATGTTGGGAATAAACAAATATTTGAATAGTAATTAGACTTGTATCTGATTTCTAGTATCTACAATTTGGCATACTAATGTACTTTTTCCATGCCAGCGCACTAATAAATTACAGGCTGCATATTTTAATGATTTTGTGGCTATTGATTTTTTTTTAAACAAATATCATTTCAAAGTTGCTTTATAAGTATACTTCCTTTGCATTACATCAATTTTATACATGAGTACGTCCAGTCCAGTTACGCCACAACATAAAGACCAGTGTTCTTTTATGTACAGTGTAATTAACCGTGCAACTAAAGTGACCGTGAGATACTGAATAGATGTATTAAAGGGCCCGTGTAACGCTATTTTCTGATATTGTTGTTAAAATATAATATTGTTCTGTTCTGATATGTTTTATATGTTGTTAACCTTTGCACGGAATTGTGTTTTGTCTCATTCACACATGTTTAACACACAACAGAAAAGACTCCGACTTGTTCCAACTTGCGATGCCATGATGTGGTAATACAGGAAGTGCTCTACTGTCTTTTTAAACTGCATATGCCTTCACTTGAATCATTTGGGTGATTTCAGCATTGGAATAGCTAATCTCTACTGAACTAAAGGTAAAAAGTAGCTGTTGACTTGAAAACTACCACTATCTGACATCACATGTTGGAACAGAGCATTTTGAGCTTTGGAGCTGTAGACAGACTAATAATGCAGGATTATTCAAACAAGCGTGCATGAAAGAAAACACAACTCTAAGTATGTTTTTGAGGAGGTAACATTCAAACAGGGCTAAATGTCAAAATACTTGAAACAATCCGTGTGTTGTTGAGTTGTTACCTCTGTGACTTCAGTGCACTGGATCTTCTCATGACAGCTCATCTGGATCTCTGCACAAAGTATAGATTGTATATGATTATTATTTCTTTGTAACTGTTGCATGTACAGACCGGGCCTTCAAACACTCAAAGACATAAGCCTGTTTTGTGCTGTGAAGCCAGACATCCTTTTACATCAAGAGCAGAAATGGTACATAATACTTGCTGTCTTTGTCATTTGCAAGTTTTGTCCAATCAAATTCCTTTGATTAAGGCTGAAGTGAAGAAATGCTGCTGTATCTACTATTACAATGATAACGCTCTGACGCTTTGACTGCACTTTGAACTGTAAACACTGCCATCTGGTGTTCAGAAGTAGTATTGGCATCTGTTTAACACATCAGGTGGCGTATCATCTTAAAAACTTAACAAGCAGAGGGGGGTAGTACTGAGTTACATTTAATTGAGAAACTTTTTAAAGAAACTGTACTTTTCTACAGTTGAAAGATATTTTTATTGAAGGAACAGTAAAAGTTCTGGGTACCCGTCCCACTGTGATTAAATCTACAAGTCAAAAAAACTTTATGTGGACCGCTCTTTTAGATTTAATTTAGTTTGTCTCAGTTTTGTGTCTGTCCTTTGAAAATACCAGATTTTTTGCATTATTTTTTGCATTTTTCCAATGACATTCACTTCAAATTACAAATCAGATGTCCAGCTGGTTATTCTGACGTGAGTAGTAGTTTTCCGAAATACTTTTTACTCTAACTTGAGTTGACTTTTACCTCTACTTTGTACTTCTATTTGAGTAACATTATGAAGTAACGTAACTCTTACTTGAGCACATTTTTTGGCTACTCTACCCACCTTTGTGTAAGTATGAACCAAACCCACTTCTAAACAGGGCTACAATAACCAGTGCTTTTATTAATTATAGCTTGGTTTAATGGAATGTGTAATTATTTAATCATTGTGACATATGTGGGTGTTTTGAATTACTTGTAAGACTTGTTGATTTATATAGATTATATTGTTGACATAGCCTGTTCTCACCAGTGTTGTCCTGGGAGTTGCTCTCTGGCTGTTCCTCGTCCTCAGTCACATGCTTCTGAAGATTAAAACACACTATCACTGAACACTGTCAAACATGTCAATACAACGGCCACATCAGCACCTTTTAGTCTGGTATCGACTTCTCTGACTCTTTGACCCGCTAACAAGTACAGATGGATTTTTGGAGCCAATTCGAATATCTGATATTTGTCTTGACGCAGTAGTCTGCAAATATTTAGGCCCACAGATTTATGTTAAAGGTGCATTGTGTAACTTTTCTGGTGCAGGGTCTGTCTCTGTCTCTCTTCTTGAAGATGTTATTGTTTTGTCTGGAATATTTTGCAATATGGCATTAAACTTTCCTATCTTCTGCAGACCAAGTTGCAGGTCAGATCTGTGGAGAGGCAACCCCGCTGACAGTCAAAATGTCTGTTTTCTAGGTATTTTTGAGCAGTAAAAGCACCTGTAATTGAATAAATATAAGGTAGAGAGGTTTAATGTCATACTGCGGAACACTCTAGGCAGAGCAATGACATAGTCATAGAAACAAGGAGGTGACAGACCCCCAACCGAGAAGTTTCATCATGCACTCTTAAGATATGGTAAAGTTCACAAATTAACTTTTCACTTTTGTAAATATACTGGCAAATTTAATCTGACCCTTTTGACATGATATTTACATACTTTTAGCCTAAATGCTCTTTCTATTGATACTATGCATCTGATGTCTTCAATATTCCCAGGGGAGATGAAGCTAACTAAAGGCACTGATCTGTCTGACGCGGTGTTACTTAAGTTAGACTTTCATGTCAGCTTTGTTTTACCACGAGAGAGAACTGACTTAGCTGGAACTACAACATGTGAGCCAGTTCTGTATGGTTAAACAAGTTTCTCTGAAATAACACTGCAGTCACAAGACATTTAGTGTTAGCCAACAGTTTTTTTCAGTTATACTCTTTTGTTTTTTAGGCGTTTTATCAAAGGCTCCTGAAAATGTATTGTTTAAATCCATTTTCATTTTTTCTTGAGTTTCAGAGCATTTAAAACTTATCAGGCTATCTTTGATAGTATGTGCATTGTGTCACCGGTAATTGCAGAACATTCTGCAATAGACATAAATGCAGTACACAACCAGCGCAATATCACTGCAAAGCATCAGTTTCCTTTTGCACTCATTAGTCTGTACAAAAGTACAATTCTGATGCACTGAGGACAAACTAGGAAAGACACACAAGCACACAACAAACAGCTTACTGGTGCCAAATATCAGCATAATTTTCAATATCTGACTTAGAATTTACTTGATTACATTTATTTACTAGACAAGAGTAAAAATGTCATCTTCACTTGTCTGTGGTGTATCTGTCCTACCTGTGCTGGGGCCTCGTCCTCCTCCATCCTGACGATCCAGTTTTCCTCCACGTTTACGCTCTCCTCCACCTGCACACAGCATTCATCAGGAAACAGTTAACAGGTTACCTTAAAACACAAGAAAACTCAAACTTGACATGATATGTGCATGAGAGAGCAAGTAAAATGTGCTAAAAAAAGGTCCATATTGTGCTATCTATATTAAACGCTGTTGTAAAAAACATACCTGTATTTTGTTTCATTCAGACATGTTTAACACACAAATCCTGCATATTTAGGCTGAGTTCTTCTCTCAAACAGAAAACACTCTGTTCCACCTTGTGATGTCATGTAGTAATACATGACGTGCTTCCCTGTGTTTTTAAACTCCATACACCTTCACTAAAACAATTTCGACCATTTCACCCCTAGATTTGCCAGTCTCTACTGAACAAAAGGTAACAGGTAGCTGTTAACTTGAAAATGATCACTTCATGAATAGAGCATTTTGAGCTTATATACATATGTGAATGATACATATGTCTTTGATGAGGAAACAACATTCTAACATGGCTTACAACGCACAAGAGTCAATTTTGCATAATATAGGGCCTTTGACAACCCTATTGAGAATGAAGTAACCTCAAACCCCTATATATGTTTATCCAACTGGGAGGCTGTAGTTTAGGCACCTGCTCGAGCCTTTGTCTCTCTGTGGCCATGTCCAGTTTCAGAGTGTGATATGGCGTCACCACTTCTCCCATGTTCAGTCTGACCGGCTCCTGCTCAAACTCCATAATGTCACCGTCAGCCTCTTTGAAACCCGGGGGCTGATAGTCCTTAGGGGTGACTGCAAGGGATAGACACAGGAAATACGGGATCAGCAATATTCAAATCTAGACCTTTAGATGCCCTATGTTCTGATCCTCCCCTTCCCTCACCAGGCTGGATGACCCCCCCATACCCTGAGTTAGCTGTCCTCTGTCCCTTAGACTTGAGTTCCACAGACTGCAAATGGATGTGGGTCAGTCCTGGACACATCTTCAGCCTGCCCATCCTGGTTTACTCCTAATTAAACCTTGTTTAGTTTTGGTTTAGTCCGGGCTTAGTCCTGGTTTAGAACTTGTTTAGTCCTGGTTTAGCCCATGGGAGCAGATCTCTCCTTCACTGTGTTTCTCCTCCATGTTACTCTTTTAACCCCCCTTTTTTTTTTGTGTTGAGTTTTTCTTTCCCAAGAAGGTCAATACTTCCTTCAACAATATATCACACTTCAAAATTTGTTATCAAGACAGGCCTATCTATTTGCTTGTTTTCTATGAATGTTGGTTACTCTGCCTGTAATTGACCAATGTCTGTCTCACTGTTTTCTACTTTCACTTCGCCAAGTCAATCTTGTTAAGTGCTAAGAGGCAACTGCTGTTATGATCTTGGGCCTGATAAAAATGTACTGAAAATAAATTCCACTGAATCTCTGGTATTATTGTTTTGTTTTTTTGCCAACTAACATCATGCAGGGTAGTCAGGGCATGTGTTTGCAGACACAATGAACTTCATTCCGGTTTTTGTTTCCTGTGGATAGCCCCAGAAATTAAGGCAGGACAAAACAGCTGCAATCTTATTAATCAAATGGTCCACCACAGAATTCTGACCTGTTCTTCAGCTCCATTTTAAACTATAGATATTGACCTATCATAGATTTTTACAGTGTCAACTTAAAATAGCTATGGTATTACCATTAATTACACTGTACTATTGAACAAATGTTGAACTGGATCATTTCTATAAGTGACTAAACTACATAAGTCACTGTTTAAGAATAATAATTTTAGCTGCCCCTATTTGTATAAATAATATTAGCTTATAGAATATTATGATCTAATCTGAAACCCAGCAATAGCACTACTAAGAACTTGACAGACAGGTAGTGTTTACCATCATCATAGTAGGCCAGCTTCATGTTGAGGCACACATTATCTGGCAGAGGCCCCAGGTTCTGCATCAGAGTGTACAGTTTTCTCACCAGCAGGATACTGGCCTTCTTTGTGTTTCCACAGGACATGGATGATATCTTGTTTTTGTTTTTGCTAAAAAGAGAGAAAAAAAAACAAAAACAAAAGGTGACACAGTATAATAAATACACTTTTAATTAAAGGTGCATTGAGAAAAGTTTTGGTCACCTGCTTGTTTCTATGGATATTTCGTTCTCTGCCTGGAATGCTCTGCAGTGTAACAAACAGCTCTATCTTACATTTATTGGATATATGGATATGTTTAATTGCGTGTAAAAATGTATAAATACTTGAATCGTTACTGTGAGCTGGCTTGCATCTCCACAAACCTGACTCTTATTTGGTCTGGAGAAGGGATTCCTCCTGCTTTTCTATGTAAATGTGCCTGTGGCTATAATCTTTGACAGTATGGCATAAAATGTTTCTAGTTCCATGGAGAATGTTCCTAAGTATGGTTATAGTTTTCTGTTTCCATGGAATCGGGCAGTTAACTTTCCACCTCCAGAAAATTACTTAATTAACACCCTAACCTCTAGTCTCATTACTCTAACCCCTTAATATGTTATTGCTTTGTCTGGAATGTTTCACAGTATGACATTAAATCTTTCTACTTCATGGAGACCAAACCAGACCAAGTTACAGGTCAGATCTGAGGAGAGGTTATGCCACTCACAATCAGAATGTCTTTTTTTTAAGATATTTTTGAGCCACAAAACCACCAGCAATTGAATAAATGTAAGGTAGAGCTGTTTAATGTTATACTGTGGAACATTCCAGGCAGAGCAATGACATATCTATAGAAACAAGCAGGTGACAGATCTCCAACCAAAAAGTTACATAATGCACCTTTAAGACTAACTAAGGCGTAGTTATTACTGAATGGTATCAATTTATAATAAATAAAGAAAAAAAATCAAGATTGTAAATGAAAATTAAAGCCCACCTTTCAAAGTCCACCTGCGCTCCACTCTTTGTGTACTGGATTCGGAATTGGTAAAACTCCGTCACTTTCTGAAAAAGAGTAGAAAGGTAAATTAGACACACTTTACTGATCCACAGGGAAATTATGTGGCCAGCATGATATCTTAACTGCACAATAAAGCACTTTTAAAGCACCAGCAAAAGGCAAAAGGAAGTAGAGTAATGAAAAAGTACTACAAACGAAATATAGCAAAATAGGTAAGGGGGTACGTGATTAGAACAAATGCTTCAGAAAAAAATAATACCTGGGGGTGGTCGGGGTCAGTGTAGAGCTGTAAAAAACAACACAAGAATATCAAAAACATACATAGAAATGCATAACGTAAAACCACTCATGAGATCTAAATACTCACAGACAAAATGACTGTCCGCAGCTTTAGAAGAGAGCAGAAAATAGTTATATAAGTATGAGTATTGATATTTATACCATCAGGAGTACTAGTGTCTGTACTTACATATTTTCTCTGGATAGCATCGAAGCATCCTTGCATCCTACAAGATAAGAAAAACATTCACAAAAGCACTCAGATGAATACATTTATGCAACTAATGGTTTTAGAATGATCTTGAGCTGTATTAGAACAAATGTAAGCGGACAGACTAGTATACACCCATGGACCACTATGGACTTTACCTGTACCACTGAGAGATTACACAGATATAAGACCACATTGTAATATTAAATGTACTATGATTTATGTTGAAAATCACATTCTATTGTCTAAATAAAGAGTGTTTTTGTATTATTATTATAATCATGGTAGTAGAATTTGTATTGAGTATCATGGCTGATTTGAGCTCTAAACCAAGACAGGATATATGACTTAAATAATGACAGTGTATGCAATAAAAAATATTATTTCATTTTAATCATGATTTATCACACATTTCTAGCAGTTGTATTAACTGTCATGTGTATTTTTGTTGTGTGCAGGCCATGTGTGAATGAGATAAAAACTGTAATTGTAAACTGTAACTGTCTTCTTATTTATCCCTGAGTAAAGAAAATATAGCACTGTTATCCTAGCAATAAACTATTCAAATGTCAAAAGTTAAGCGATCTCAAAATGTCACCAATAACAGGAAGTTGAAACCCATGCATACCACTGGACAATCTGACTGGCACCAGGACAAGTTTTCTCCTCTCTGAGAATCATCACTTTCTGGTCTGTGGAAAATAAAATAATTACAAGTTCATTTGAACATTTCAGCTAATTCAAATTATTTCTTTTTTATTAGTTTACCGTCCACATGCTTAGTCCCATAGGCTTTTTCTGGGAATAATCCGCGCAGGTATGTAATCCCGGAAACCGCAATGGCCAAAAGTTTTTTGACAACAACGAGGGACTGCTGCTCAGATGCCACCTGGTTTGGTAACAGTTGCGTGTCCTGGAAAATACATTACACTTATTATAACAAGCAGTAGTCATGTTCGGCATACATTTCTGTCAGGTTGTTTACTGAATCTGGGCATGGTTGAATCATATTTTGAAGGGCTGGTTACACTAAATTACACTATTAAAAGTAAATAGATTATTGCAATTATTAAACTATTCTTATTATTAAAGGAATTGGATGTAAGATTTTGATATTAAGTGTCCAAAAAATCACTACCGATATATAAGTCCGATATGTTATTACTATTATTATTATTAAAATTCCATAAACATGACCTAAAGGCTCCCCAGATATAAGAGATGTTCAAATCAAAGAGAGCTTTTACTCATAACAATTATAAGGTGGATTTATTTTTATTTACAAAAACATTGGACATGATGGCTGAGTTGTTTATAGTTGTTATAATTTGGTGTTTTGGTTCTCAAAACAATGATCCAATCATTATTTAGATTGTTGTTTTAATGCTGAAAGGACTCCGTCTGATCTTTTCTGAATCTGCTGCAGTATTTCTCGTCCATATACTGAGAATGAGAAAAGCTTGGATGTGTCCTGTATCTGCAGGTTAAGGCGCTGGCAACACAGGCTCAGTTGTGATTTTAGTTGTTGTTTTTTTTTGTGTTTTTTTTTTTTTTGTAAAATCGCAGGCTGCATACAGTTCCTAATATCTTCTTGTTACAGACATCACAATGTTGTGTTGTCTTGATACTAAAATTTTAAACTTGATTTCAATACTAAGGAATAGACCCTATACTTAATATTGATTCCAATACCACAATGATAATAAAAAACACTCTTTATTTAGACAACAGAAAGTAATTTTAACATTAAATAATAGTACTTTACACCTGTGCAATCCCTCAGTCTTTCAGGTAGGTTCCATAGTGGTCCATGTGCTCATATATTTGTTCTGATACACTTCAAGATCATTCTAAAGCTATTCAGGAAAGGTTCACTTCTGTCTTGTTGATGACTTTTTTAGAACTTGTACTTAGTATTGATTTGTATCTGATTTTTGACACTTTTGACAGCTCATTTTAGTGTTAGATTTATTATCGTGAGAAGGCATTATCTATTGACAATCTTTTCTTTAATGCATGACCAAGGTTTATTTGCATGTTACTTTTAACATTCTTACGACTACCCTAGTGTCACATTACCATAAATCTTCGACTCTATCCAAACTTGTGACATCTCTGTTCTGACAGCTGTGGGCCAACCATACAGTGTCGAGTCAACACTACGCATAAAGCAGTGTAATCGCCTCAAGTAAAATGGAGTGAGTCTTTAATCAAAATATCAGCTTTGGCATTAGGCCTGGAAATATTCCTCCATCAACGTTCTGTAGCAGCTAATTTTCATAGCCTCAGTTTACCCAGGGGAATCTTCGGAGCAGATAATTGGATTAATAGCAAACTGCCAAACTTTTATGTACTCTTATGCAGTACTAGTACTGTCCCAGCATGTCCTTAGGGTTAGGTATTGAACATCAGATACTAATCGATACTAAAACTAGATACTAATCTGAGCAGGTCTCAATACTAAAAACATCACATTCACTTTCCTGAATAGCTTTAAAATGATTTTGAGCTGTATCAGAACAAGTATAAGAGTACATAGACAAGTATACACCCATGAAGACTACATGGTAATATAAAAAAGTAGTATTATTTAATGTTGAAAATCACATTCTATTGTCTAAAGAAAGTGTTTTTAGTATTATTGTGGTGTTGGAATTGGTACTGAGTCTATTCCTTAGTATCAAAATCGAGTTCGAAATTTAGTATCTTGACAATATACGGTATGTCCTATTAGAATCCTATAGCTGGGTTTCAGATTATATGACAACATTCTAGCCCTGTTATATATAATGGAGATGGGGGAAGGTGAATTTACTATTGTTAACTCTAACTTTGTTAACTTTGTGTTGTTATATAGCAAAGTCTAGCTACTAATGTATGAGTGATCAGGGTCAACATTTGTGAATTTGCCATTTGAACAACATAGGAAAAACAAGGGCTGTGCAATTAATCGAGTTTTAACTGAAATGCAGTCATGTCTAATGGTCAGTAATCATCTTGAGTCTTTTTAATTGAGAGGTCTACAGCCATTCCTGTCAATAAAAGCATGTGACTTTATGTTACAAGTATTTGTGTTAAATGGCAATAATTAAAAATATATATTGTTTATGTACAAGGAATTTAAATTGCATTATATTTTATTCAATTAAAAATTTAATTGCAAATTGTCCTGACTTCACCTGAAAAACTAACTCTGGCCCTCCAGGGAGTCTGACATTCTAAACTGAAAACCACAAAGACACCACCAGGTAAATATAGGGTGACCAGAATTTCAAAATAAAAAACTGGGACATCCTTGTTTTTTTGGTGGTTGGTAATAATAAAACTGTGAAACAAGAGTGTAATTAAGGAAAATTGATATGCAGAGACCATTCATGAATAATATGTGAGTCAGTATAGTCACATTTTCTTTGTGTTTTGGTCATTTTTAAGCCTTTTTCTGTATTTTACCAAAACAAATTACAATTTATGCCTTTCTTTACTGTTGGCAGTCTGCTGGCAGTTACTGTTGGTATCACATTGGTCAAAAATAGGGACACCTGGGACATTTCTTGTATAAAGCTGGGACCAATCAATGGTTTTGTATAAATCTGCATGGACAGGGGACACAGTACTCAAAACTGGAACCGGGTCACGGGTAAATAGGGACATCTGGTCACCCTAGGTAAATAATTATTACTTCAATGATGTGTTATAACCAAATGAAACACTATTTTCTCTAACATATAACCTACACTGTAACAAACTACCATTCATACATACATGAATGAAAACTCTTGAATTTCACTAAATTGCTTTGAGGTGCTTTAAAATTAGGAAACACAACACAGTACAAATCATAAAATATACAATTATAACAGTTGATTTACCTGGGAAGTCCTAACTTGTTGTAGGCACGCCATGATCGGTGAGAGCACAGCTAAAAACAAAAGAGAAAAGTCATTATCCAAACGAATCAGCTACGTTAGCACAAGGCTGGCGTTAGGTTTAATTGATTATCACAAAAATGTACAAACGTTTGAACAAAAGTCTTGTTTATAACACACCCAAATGCCACTTGAGAATGGTTAAATCATACTTACAAGCTCGGGGAAACGTTTATTAACCTAAAATGCGAAATTTCAGTTGATATTTTTAAAAACCATTTTTAGTTTGTGCTGTCGTTCCCGCGAATTGTTTGATTGACAAGTAGAAGTAACCAGCGCTGGGCCAATGAGAAGCCAGAGATTTCTTTATAACAAATATAATTTCCATCATAATAGTTGAAGTTTAACGCGTTAGACTTGTGTGCGTAGTATTTTTTGCTTGATATTGCACACATAAGTGGGATTTTATCACATAATTTACAGATTTTCTTCCAAATTGAGTTTGTTTACGGTTTTGTGTTGATGCAGTGCAGCCCCTTCATCGCACTCTTCGCGTAAAACTATTGGACGAGCGGCTGTCAATCAAACACATCCCTCCTACTGCTGTCACACCATTGGTTACAACCAAGCAGAATCTCTCATCCCATTGGCTACTGTATGCGTCGCTCAACCCCCCTCCGCCGACGTCATCTCTCATTACGCCATTTTTGTTGGGCAGTAGCAGCAGCAGCAGCAGCACGGCAGTCGTGTTGGCTGGGGAAAAGCAGGATAATTCAGAACACAGGTATCTGCACAAAACGAGGCTCGGTGCGTCGTCTTCACGGGACTGCGAGAGGGGACAGCGGTCTGATCACGACACGGCCACAATGTCGTCAGAAAACACGGATTCGGACACCCAGGTGGACTGCGAGGACGAAAAACAGGTGGGATTCGGGCTGCTGGGTCGGTGTTGTTGCAGTGGACTACGTTAGCTGAAGGTGGTTTAGCGCAGGGGGTGTAGAGCAGTGGACACGAGTGGAAGTTGTGCATTCAAGCTGACAACATGTCTCGCGATCACGACTTTTAACAGACACCTTAGCAGAGTCAGAGTGACACTTCTTGTGTCCCCTACCTGATGTCATTGGCTGCTGAGTTCAGAGCAGCCCGGGCCTCATTGGTCCATCCTGGAAACGGGCTACAATGGCTTTACCATCACAGTGTAATAAATGCATAGTATGGCTAAAACATTTCATAAATCAATCAGTATTTGTTGTATTGTGGGCTATTTTCAGTATGTAACAGTTGACATTCATACTCATGGTCGTTTCAGAAAAGTACTAGTAGGCTCATTGGTTGTAAGTTCACACTGACATAAATACTAATTCTAAACTACTTATTCATTGTAATACTAATCTCTGTGAAGTAGTAATTAATAATGTAATGTATGCCAAGTGATTCAACCTGTTATATAGGCTAAATATGAAGTAGGGTTGTCAAAAGTATCAAAAATCTAATTCTAATCAATACTAAAACCAGTATCAAAACTAGATATGCATGAGCAGGTATTGATACTTAAAAAGTTCACAGGACATAAATTAACTTTTCCTTATTAGCTTTAGAATCGCTGTATCAGAGCAAGTATAAGAGCACGTAGTCTAGTATACTCTCACGGGCTACTATGGAACCTGTCTGGACCACTGGGGGATTACACAGATATAGGCCAATGGGAATATAAAAGAAAGAACTATTGTCTTAGTGGTATCATAATGCTGAGTTATCAAGTCTATTCCTTAGTACTGAAATCAAGTTTGAAATGTTAGTATTGTGACAAGACTAATATGAAAAATGTTATATGTTTGATGTTTTCAATTCCAAAACACAAAATAAAATGTCAAACACTTTGAATATTAGTGTCTCTTAGCACTTACACTTACTGACAGGCTGCCAAAGAAAGTGAGAGTCAGTATAATACATCTGTTCATACCCAAAACAAAAAACAAACAAATGCAATGAACCTTAAGGCATTTGATAATTGCAACTACGATTGTTTTCAGTAGATCCAAGTGGAAGCTTTGAATTGATTGTTAATACTAAATTCTTACCACAATGTTTCACATTATTTCAGGAAACCGTGGTGGCCCCCATAGTCTAAAAACAAATTGGACTATATATTGGCATAACAACACAACACTTTGTTGCTAATTTTATTATTTTAAAGTTATAAAAGACAGCAGTGGTCAGAAGTGACTGCTTAAAGATTAAATGTAGGCACTAAAGACTAGAGCAGGACTAGAGCAGGACTAGAGCAGGACTAGAGCAGGACTAGAGCAGGACTAGAGCAGGACTAGAGCAGGACTAGAGCAGCTATAAACCTGGTGTCAACCGGGATTCAACTAGGACCATTAAACCAGGACTAAACCAAGATTAGACCAAGACTAAAAAAATTACTGCTTAAAGATTAAATAATGGCAGTAAAGATTAAACCAGAACTAAATCAGGACTCAAACAAAAATAAACCAGGAATAAACCAGGACTAAACCAGAAGCGAACCAGGACTAAACTGGTTTAAAGATTAAATATAGTCAGTACATGACATTTATACTTCAAAATTGAATGAGATGAAACTATTCAAATAAAAAATATTTCTGCCACCAGAGTCTTAACAAACCCTATGGAAAACACTGTACCAATTATGAAAATATTAGCTGCTACTACTAACAGTCATAAATCTAGGTCACGTAAAAATTTTCATTGGGTGTTGTAGAGGTGTTGTCTGTTTCCCAGTAAACAGTTGCCATGTGAACCAACTTACCCTAGTGAATCATAGTTTATCTTTGATTTATTGTTGAGTTACCAGCTGGGTGTGGATTAGTCTCACATTGCCTGGAGGAGTTCAACACCTCAGTCTTCTTGGCAAACATTTTGGTTACTAAGCATCAAGTGAGGATTCTGTGTCTCCCGTGACTTGAGGTTCAGAGCATGTTTTCATACAACAGCTGTGCAGAGCAGTTGTAGCAATGAATATTATTGACTTGTTTGAAACAGGTTTACCAGCTAATGTATGTTCAGGTACAGGTTGTATTGACAGCAAGAACATGCCAGAGTAGGGCTGGGAATCACAGGGTCCCTCAAAATACACAATACATGGCTCATGATATGATATTATCACGATATGGTGATAAAATCAAGAACCAAATACAATTTAGCAATAATCTTTCTTTGTTAAATGTTTGTTCATAATGCATTGCTTTTCATAATCAACAGTGAATATGTCAAGTGTATTGCAAGTTTATCCTCCAGTTAATAAGCAAGAAAACTGTAGTGTGGTCAAAAGATACCAAAAAATGTTCTCCTATGATAACAATACTCTATGCACAAATTCAGGGTGTGCAAAATATTTAGATATTTTGCACACCCCTATGTGTATAGTATACACATTATTCCAATTCTTTTCAAATAGCAAGCTGTTTAAATAGACAAATAATCACTTTGCAGTTTACCTGTTTGGGTATCAAATAAAAAGGTCTTAATTTTGCTTCTGAAATTATCATATTAATATTATTTTTAAATGTCTTATGATTATATTGTAATTCCTATACAACAATAGTGTGATGCTTCTTTACAAACCAACTGCAGAGTAACCAGTTCAAACCTTGTCTACTGCTGTCCATAGACAAGTAACCAACACTGAATGAAGTTAAAACTGAAAGATGTAAAAGATGCAGTTTTGCATTTCTTCATTTGGATCTTTGATGTTTTTTCCAGTGGAGAGGGCAGTAAGTATTTGTTATTTATATATAATCCCACTTTGAATACAGTTGGCCAATCACAGTTGCAGCAATAGTTTAGGTGATAAACATTCCATCTACAGTGTTGGTATGTAAAAGATCTGCCAGTGCAAACCCTGTAGTTAGGACTTCTGCAAACATGTTTGGAAGTGCATGTTATTCCTTCATTATTAAGCAGTTCATAGTTTATCAAATGTTCAGGCATCTGGAAGTGTTAAAATGTGAACTTGTGCTGAAATCTTGTTTAACCAAAATGGCTGTATTGTTGGAATATTTAATTTTATTAAAAATGTATTATAATTTGATTTATAATTACAAAGCCAAAGGTGAAGAAACAAAGGCAGACATTCTTATCTTGTGACCTGCAGCACTTTGTCTGCTCTTGTTTTGGAAACAGGACTAGGCTAAACTAGAGCATTCATGTGGAGGTATCTGAGGTGAGTGTTCAGAAACTCAACACCTGTTGACCTACAGGTTTGTGAAGGCCACACTGGGCTCTGCGCTGGTGCTCAATATAGCAGCACATCATTTTCTCTCCAAGTGATTCAGCAGCAGACCGCCGCTGTGAGACTGGCTCTAACTTCATTCATCTGACTCAAAGTTGTGTCTGGACTTGTAATTTTAACACCATCATAACTTTTAGTTCCTAATTTCTTGTTTTTGTATTATATTAGCATTTAAATGTCCTTCAATTTATGAGATGTCAGCGATTATTGCTACTTTAATATTCTCAACACATGAACAAAAATGTAAAAAATATCCTGGAAGTTATTCTCTATTCCACCACCTGAAAATCTAAGTAATATTTACCTTAAGCTCCTTCTTTTCTGTAAAAAAACTTTGTAACATACTTATAAGTTCCCACCCTCAAGTCTTTATTGTATTTTTGTTTTAATTAATCATGAGTGTGTTAAACGCTATTGGTTTAGTAGCCATTTCCTGTCTTTTGAATGATGCGGCTCATATCTTAACTGGAGTTTGGTTTACAGCCCGTGGAGTTTGACCTCTGTGTTGTGTTAGGCTCTTTCACATGAGCAGGGTGTGAGCAGGTGGCCCAAATATAATAAATAACTGTGAGATCGGACCAGTTCAACCAGTGTTAGTCACCCAGGCAACACAGAGTGGTGTGTCTGACTGTCATGTCACCTGTTAGACCTGTAATTATGCTTGAATTTTCACAACAATAGAGACATTGCTCAATTTTACCTCTTCTTGCTGGTAAACATTCAATTCGTTTGTGAGGAGTATTTTTTCAAGATTTTAAACAAGCCCAGGAGAGTTATTCCCTTGAGAGATGACTGAAATAACTTCCAAACCAGTGGGGCGATGACAGTAGCTCAGTTGGTACAGTGTTTGTCTGCTGACCCAGAGGTTGGTGGTGCGATTCCAGCTCCCACAGATGAATGCAGAATGAATGCGTCTTTGTGTCACTGGGCAACCCACCTCATCCACAGTGTCTGCATGCACTGGAGAATGAATGTGTTTGTGAATGTTTCCTTGATATAAAGAGCTTTTGAGTGCCTTGAAGGTGAAAAAGTATTGAAAAATGTTTACCATTCAATACAAAAAACACGTGCTTTTCCACAATTTCCTCCATAAACAAAAAAACATCCTCTCTTATCTTGCATAGAAACTACTAACCCTGTAGTTTAGATCTGTACAAACATGTGCTATATGTGATTTTTCTATTTCACTCTTTTTGTCAATTCTCCTGATCTCGTTTAAAATGTGAACTTTGAAGAGAATCCGATTATTAAAGCAGAAATTGCAAATAGAATCAATATGCTTGTCAGATAAATCATAATTCGATATTTTTCCCCAAATCATTCAGCCCTAGAATATTGAATGCAGCTCTTATCTTACCCACAAAATAATCTAATTAAAATAAAAATGTACCAGATGTCACTTCAGCTAACAGGTTAATGAAAAATGTACCCTGCGGTCATTCATTGCTGATTTGGTGTTTCTGTAATTTCATAGCTGTTATTCAAAGCCCTGCATGTGAGCCTTATCTTGTGAGCTTGTTTTCTGTCCAAACATATCACAGTGATGCTCTGTTTGTGCTTGTCTCTGCAGGACTCTCAGGAGAAGAATGTGAACGCCATGAAGGCTGAGGAGGCCAAGCTAAAAGCCAAGTACCCCCAGAAGCCTGGAGGGTCAGACTTTCTCATGAAGAGGCTACAGAAAGGGGTACGACATCAAGCCAGGGAATCGTATTATTTTTTAAGGGCCAAAAAGTCAACAAAAAATCACTTCAATACTGATAAACAAGGAGGTTGAGCTCATATCTTAGTGTTAAAGGTCCTATATTGTGCAAAATTGACTTGTGAGTTTTAAGAGAAGTTCTAACGTTGTTGCCTCATCAAAAACATACCTGGAGTTATGTTTTTGTTTCATTCAGTCACACATGCTTGAGTAATCATTTATTGTTTGTCTGTCTACATTTCCAAAGCTTGTGATGTAATGAAGCGTTAGTTTTGAGTTAGCAGCTACCTTTTATCTTTTGTTCAGTAGATATTGGGAATTCCAGGCCTGAAATGATCCAAATGATTCTAGTGAAGGTCTATTTAGTTTAAAAACACAGTGGCGCACTTCCTGTATGACCACATGACATCACAAGGTGTGTTTTCCCTGAAAATGCAGGGTTTTTGTGTTAAACATGTGTGAATGAAACCAAACACAAATCTAAGTGCATTTTTGATGAGGAAACAACTTTATAACATAGATCTGAAAATTGTGTAATATAGGCCCTTTAACTTATTGCTTCATCATCCAAATTCTTCTATTGAAAATTAAATTTAGCATAATAAATCATCTAAACTAAATCAGTAAATGAAAAATGTGTCAAAATGTGTCAAAATATTGTAGACTGTTTTAAGAAATCCTTTCTTAGGCACGGGCCCTTTATTTACTTATCTCAAAATCAAGTAGCCCAATTAACCAGCAAATAAGAAGTTAACCAGCCAATAACGCCTTTTATTCACATCACATAAACAACCCTGTGAACCTGTTGTATAAGCAGCTAGTGCGGAGGGGTGCTTAACAGTCTTCTCCTCCTACACATGTGTGGTACAGAGGAACTCCACCTCAGGAGGGGAGCTATCATGGGAAATGGGAGAAAAACAGTGTGCAAGTCAAAACCAGTTCTGTTTTTAAAGCTGACACAACCTTAGAGCCTTATATGACCCAGGCAATTTACACACCCATTATCTAATATAGTAATATTATGTTTAAAGGGGCCTTGAACTATAATGTTGTTTGAATGTTTGTTATACATTAATGGGACCTATATTATGCTAAGATGACTTATTATAGGCCTTTTAGGTCCAAGATCAAAATGGTATATCCAACAGTGATGTGCTCCTATTGAAGTTCTTAAACATTTTCTGAAGCCAGCAGCTGGTGCCCTTGTGTCATCTGGGAACTGTGAAGGGCTTATTTATTTACTCATTTCTTATACATGTACATTTATACATACATTAAAGCACTAAATTACAAAGCAAAGGTTATTGAAAGTAGCTGAAAACGCTTTAACAGTGCAGTTCTAATCTATTTTATAATGTTTTCTCACCAAAACATACCCAGAGCTGTGTTTTGTTTCATTCACACGTTTAACACACAAATCCTGCATATTTAGGCTGTGTCCTTCTCTCTAACTAAAACTAAAAACTCTGTTCCACCTTCTGATGTCATGTGGTAAGGACGTGCTCCTCTGTGCTTTATAGCTTTTCAAGCTATGTTTTGAACTCCATACACCTTCACTATAATCATTTGAATTGCCGGTCTCTACTGCACAAAAGATAAAGAGTAGCTGTCAAAGTAAAGTGATTCATGACATCACAAGGTGAAACAGAGCATTTTGTGCTTTGAAGGTGAAGACAAGCCAAACATTAAATGATTACTCAAATATGTGTGCATGAAACAAAACATAACTCCATGTATGTTTTTGAGGAGGTAACAACATTCTAATATGGCTTAAAGCTCACAAGAGTCAATTCTGGTTAATTTAGGACCTAAAAATGTGCCTTTTAAACTAAGCAAGCTGCTTTTGTCACTGCTATTCACTGTGTCAAGGAGCTGTTCATTTGAGTCAGAACAGACGCTTGACTCACCAGTTGGATTTGGCTTCTTCTCATTGTGTGAAAAACAAACTGACTCTCCCATTTTCTTCCAGCAAAAGTACTTCGACTCGGGCGACTACAACATGGCCAAAGCCAAGATGAAGAACAAGCCCCTCCCAGTGGCCGGTCCAGACAAAAACCTCGTAACGGGCGACCACATCCCCACGCCACAGGACCTGCCCCAGAGGAAATCTTCGTTGGTCACCAGTAAATTAGCAGGGTAGCCATTTTGTCCCCCACTACCCCCGTACCAGGCTCTTACTTGCAGCCTCCACGCTCCCTCCCCTACCGGCTTTCACATATCGGGCAGAGTTGTATAAGTTCCATTGGCTTGTGTGTGGGCGGGGCATGGAGGGCTGCTGTGCTTGGGTTCGCCTCGCTCATGTCTTGGTTTGTTCAGTGTTCCCAAGATGCATCACTCACTCGTGTGTGTGTGTGTGTCATCAGGCAGTGGGCAGGAGTGATGAGTTAATGCACTTTGTATTCTGTATAGTAACGTTCATATAACTGACACCAAAATGATCCACACGGGAGATAGGAACCGTGATTGTGCTTCTTTTTTATGCTTTTTTTTTTTTTTTTTTTTTTTTTTTGAGGTGATATGTTAAAAAAATAAGGTATGTATGTGAAAAATGACTACTTGCACATCATCATGAATACAGGCCTCTTTGTGACCCTTTACTTAGTTTCCTCCAAACAAAAGCTTCACGAGACCCTGTTTGCACAACAAAAGTTTGAAACAAGCAGCAAATTCTATTCCAGATCTAAAGACTAGCCTCTGCATTGGGTTATGGAGAGATCTACCAGATTGGTGTCTCATCAGGTGGTGGTTTTAGTTTTAAATTCTTCATATCCATGTTATTAAATGACCATTATCTCACCAAAATATGTTTATTTTCACTGATTCTCCGCATCCATGGTAGGGCTACACAGTTTGGGGAAAATATCTGATTGCGTTGATTCTGAAAAGCATCGAGATTGCAATAAAATTTGCAAATTATGTTTTAGAGGAAATTGACAAAAAGTCTGAAATATGAACTGACTCACGAAAACAAGAATCGCATTTCAGGAAATGTTTGCACAGATCTAAACTACAGGGTTAGCAGTTTTTATACAGAATAGGACAGGATATTTAGTTGTATTTGGTAAAGTGTGGTGCTTAATTGCGTCTGTTCAAATTGCAGTTTTGATTCATTTGCAGCCCTACAGTGACTGCCTGAAGGACAGAGATTTTAGTACCATGCACAAGTTATAGTTAGCCTCTGACAATATCAATATCCAGTATCTTAAGACATGATAAACAAGCATTTGGAGATGAACACATATTACTTAAGGCTGGTCTTATTTTTCACAGACTTCTGACTTCTTATGATCTCATTTTATGGATGTTTCACGCTTTTATATATCCATGTTTAAACAGAATTGTCTCATGACTGTCACAAGACCTGAGATACTTCATATATGTAGTTATTTTCCATTCTAGAAAAAGCTTATGTAATATATACCATTTGTGGTGCTTTATGTTAATTCATTCAGCATTATTTTTCTTATGCTGGATTATTATTACTTTCACTTCTCCATTTCTCTAGATTTGGGGTAGAAACATCCAAATCCTCTGTGACTCCTTCAGGCTGTGGCAGATCTCTGCTCACACAGTTCTGTTGGCATGTGTCCTCACCTGCTGCAGAGTCAACATTAGCAGAGGGTTGTAAATGACAGTACTACTGCATTAGCCTGACATGGTTCCTCTCAGGATTCTCTCTGCTACTTTTGTTGTGTAAATTTGAATTCTTGCATGATGGCATTAGTTTCACTTCATCCTCATTACGAAAACAAACTTGTCTATAAACCAGGCTGTAGTGGAAAGAAACTAAGTAAAAGTAGAAAAGTATTGTACTAAAGTATACATTTTAGGTATCTGTACTTTACTTTAAGTAAAAGTAAATGGATACTTTTTACTTTTACTTCACTACATTTGAGAGCAGGTATTTGTACTTTCTAATCCACTACATTTTTGAACTGGACTAAAAAGTAAAAGCATTTTTATGATGATCTACTGAAAGTCCTGAGAGTTTATTTTTAACACAATTGAGCAAACAAAAATCTACAAATAAAAACGGCTAGGAAAAGCTATCAATGCAGTTGTTTCTGTTGAATAAAATTCTGCATAAAATGTATAAACACACTTGCCTGGAAAAATCCAGACTCATTGCTGTACCAGCAGCTGATACGGATCTGTATAACAAATGCAGAGAGACATACTTCTGGATTTCCAGGCAATAAAAACACTGCATTTAAAGCCTTTATAAGATCTCAAAATCTTTGTTGTCTAAATCTGCTTTTACTTTTTATTCTTTCTTTAATACTTTTACTTTTAGTAGATTTTTTCAGTGCAATACTTTTACTTTTACTTGAGTATATTTTTGCTCCTGTATCTGTATTTTTACTTCACAAAATTGACTACTTGCTCCACCACTGAAATCAGGACACTTACCTATTTAAATTCTGCTGTTCTGTCAGTCCACATACTTTTAATCATATACGTATAATCATGTGTGGCCCAGAGCCCGGTCAGTACATTTATGGATGTCGGTGGGTTGCCAGCTCCTTTTTCCGCTGTTGCATAAATAGCCAATTAGAGGCCTACAGGATTAGTGGGAAGATTAGACACAAACTGCATAGATTTCATGCCTTAGTAAATTAAACTCAGCTTTGTGCAGAATTTATTATGACACTGGTCAATACAGAAAGAGGAAGTTTTACAGGCAACACTGGTAACTAAATTAACTTGAAATTAATTATTTTTAAAAGCCTGAATAAGATCGCAGTGACCAAAATGCAGCTGTTTTTGCCTACTTCTAGTTTTCCTATATACTTAACTAAATTGTGTTTAGATGGGGCTGAAAGAGTTACTATTATCAGATTTTAAGTACAATTTGAATTGTCGCAATGTGCAAATAGTTGTTTAGGTATTACCATGTAGGATTAATAATATAATAAGAGTACAAAGGTTGGCTAAAATTTTTTGATAAGATATTTAATTTTGACCGACCTGTTGCATAAAGAATACACATAATGCTTTATTTGAACACTGCACAAAAAGTGACTGCAATATCTGTCTTAAAATATTTGCAATAACCAGCTCTGCATGATCCTGACTTTTTTATTGAACTATTTTGTATTGCTCTTGTACAATATTGATTGATCTCCAGAACACATGTAATTGCGATATTCACACACATGTTTTGAAATGTTTAGGGCTTTTTCTTCAAATTATGTTAAAATTCGATGATGTTATTCAAATTTACTACAAAATTATCACGTTTTCTGCTATTATTTCATTGCAGTGTTCAAATAAAGCTTAATGTGTATTCTTTTGCATGTGCTAAAAAGAGCAAATAATCTCTAATCTTTTATCACAAATTTAACTGCAATATTTGTCCCACCCAAAGACTTTTCCAACATCTCTCAGCCTCACATTAGCTCCCCTCACCCTGCTCTCTGTGTATCCCTGTTCTGAAACTCTACACATCAGGTCAGAGGGTTGCGCTGGGCCAAACAGACTCACACAGGTGCTGTCAACCCGCTCCCTGCTTCACCCTCTGGGCCAGAAGTGGGACACCGCATGCCTGCAGGGTGTGCTAACTCCACCGCCTGGCACAGAACATTTGGTAACACATGCTGAGGGGGCAGGGATGACAGTAAGCCCAGGCTGTTTTCCACTGCTCAACTCGAAAGATTAAACTGGGAGTGGAAATCTGCAGTGTGTTTTTTAGAAAATCTGTGTCCTTAAAGAGCCTATATTGCTGTTACAATGTTGTTTCCTCATCACAAACTTACCCAGAGTTGTGTTTTGTTTCATTCATTAAACACACAAACTCTTCTCCCAAACTGAAAACACTCAGTTCCACCTTGTGATGTCATGTGGTAATACAAGGAGGACTCCACTGTGATTTTAAACTCCACAGACCTTCACTAGAACCATTTGGATCATTTCAGCCCTGAAATTTCTAAACTCTACTAAACAAAAGATTAAAACTTCATGACATCACAAGGTGGATCAGAGCATTTTGGGCTTTGGAGATGTAGACAAACTAATGATAAAGTTACTCAAACGTGTGAATGAAACAAAGCACAGCTCCAGGTCTGTTTTTGGGAAGTTAACAACATTATAACATGATGTAAAGCTCACAAGAGTAAGGTTTGAGTAATATAGATGTTTGAGCATGTTTTTAAAAGTTGTTATGCTGCTAAGGGAAGTCAAAATCTCATGTGTGGTTTGTTTTCATGAAGAGGTATTGCATGGTGTAGGGTCAGTAAGCCAAAGTTTATAATGAGTGTCAGAGGCTTGGATTTCATTGCAGTTTAGTGATGGTGCAAATGATAACAGCTTCCATATTTAGGTCTGTCACTACAATAAATTTTGATCTGTGATATGTTGCCGAAGTAACTATAGCCAATAATAGATAATATTGCAACTAATTTATGCCACTGACACATAAGGATGTAACGTATCGTAAAAAATCTCACAATAATATCGTGGACCATTACAATTTATAGAATTGCAAGTCTCATTGCTTAAATTCGTTGCTGTTATGGTGCAGCAATAGCTAAAAAATAGAGAACAGGAACTACATAAACCATGATCCTTTGCTCTGTTAAGTGCAGGCTACATGAAGAAATAACTGTTAGTAGGCACTTTTAAACCTTAATTATTTTTATTATAACAGCACTAAAGGCTTTTCAAGGCATTTTAAAACGAAAAAAGTTAGTTAAAGTGAACGTATTGTATTGAGAGATTTGGATATCGTTACATCATTATTGACACAACAGACCTAAGGGCAGATTTAAACCGCAAAAACTATTCTAAATCTGCCATATTGTTAAAAAATAATGATCTGCAATAAATAAATAGCACTATAGTAATTCGTTTGTATCTTTAATGATTCGTGAAAGACCTTTTTACAGCTGCAATCTTATCATATAGCCTAAAAATAACCAAAACTTCCCAATAGTGCAAACAAAATGTACACACAATAAATATTAGGAGTCCAAAAAGATATAGTTCCAACTTTCATATACTGAACGATAAGCCAATATAGTATTTATCATGACAGGCCCATCCATAAAGCAAATGTAAATTTGAAGGAAATAAAGAGATATTAATGATACTGTTGTATATTATCAGATAACAGTTGGGATGATGTGTTGAGTATTCGTGAGTAAGGAAAAAGGATTTCTTCCTCATTTGGACGGTTTGGCATGGAGCCAATTCTCCATTGTTATAGCAATAACACAATTCAAATCAAAATGTTATTTCTTTTGAATGGGGAAAGGACCTCACAAAATCTTTCAAATCAGGAAGGAATCATTTGTCCGAACACAGGAATCGTCAGACTTTTCAAAACCCTTATCAAAAATGTTGGATTCAGTGATATGTACAAGGGGAGGGGCTGGGCAATAAGGCAAAAAGACCAATAATTTAATAAGAACAGGATTTTTTTTAAACTGTTATAAATAAGAAATTGTATTATATTGTAAACAACTGCCATTAACACAAAATAATCGTCACATTTGTTGTTCCTGAATCTGAGCTTCTTTTAAAGTCACACATTTACCACCATAGGCTCATTTAACTGACATTTTGATTAACTGCAGAGAAAAAAAGCAGTACATTTAAAGTGTTGATCAATGGTAATACATTAAAAACAGCTATTTAAAAATACAAGATCTGTTATTCAGACCAACAGGCCCTGGGCTATCCTAGCTCTCGCATTTGCGTCACTGCTGTGTTATTTATGCAACTGACAGTAACCTCTTTGACAACAACTTTACATACATTTAAAGATACTGACCCAACCTGAAGTTATGGTATACACACAACCTTATACTTATGTATCACTTCACTGAGGCTTTAAATGTGTCAAAGTTGTATGAATGAATGTTTTTGAATGCCATTGTAAATAGAACAGCTATGATTGATTTAACCTTTTTCACTTTTCTTTGCCTTTTCATATCAACGGTTCCGATATATGTCATTTTGGTCTCTGTAATACTGTATACCAGACGCTCTGTATCATATGAAAATATGTATAAATGCTGCTGATTGAGACGAAACTCTGGAAAAAATGCACCTTTTTTCAATCCAAGTTTATCTGTCATGGCTCCTGCAGTTAGTTCAAATATCTCCTATTGGATTTGACAGAAATGTATATTGTTGCAATGTTGTGTTTGATAATCTGTTGTTTTTGTTTAATAGCGAATGCCAAGGCAGACAAGTTAGATTCATTTTGTAATCTGCCTCTTATAATATAAAGTAGGTTTTCAGAATGGTGGGTTGAACTTTGGTGGCTACAGTTGGTCCTCGGTACTTGATGTCTGCCTTAGAGAAGATGCACAAGAGGGTATAAAGCAGGGTTTGGTTGGTACCCTGAAAACAGGGTCTCTGATTTGTATGAAAACATGCCAGAATGTATTGAGCTCTGAAGTTCTTCTGTGCTGCTTTTCTCTTTTTATCTGTTCTGTTGATTTGCAAAAATGTTTGTTTTGTTTTTTCCTCTTATGTTGACTTCATGGAATAATTGGTATATTTCATCCTGGCCCAGAAAAACAGTGGGAAGCTGAACCAGTGCTTCCCAGTGAAAATGGGTTTACATTCTAAACTGACTGGAGACCCCAGGATTGATTTTTAAGACTCCAGAAAGTACATACTTGGAATGTCCAGCTTTGTGGGATTTGGTGAGAGGAATTTTGTCAGTATTTGACATTTGAAAATAAACTTTTACATTAATAAGAGCTGTATGTTGCATTCATTGAAGATCAAAGTGAAAATATTTATATTTATTATTTATTATATGTATATGTATGTATGTATATATATATATATTATATATATATATATATATATATATATATATATATATATATATATATATATATATATATATATATATATATTAGATGTAGATATATAGCTTTATAGCGATAGATAGATAGACAGATATGATTTGATTATTGTTATTGTTAGACTATTATTATTTGTATATTATGTATTTTTTTTAAATATATTTAACAATATAAACAGCATATAGCACGCAATCTCCACTAGAGGGAGCTAGTGCACTGTCCTGGATGGTATAAGCACTCTGTCTCTGGAAATTTCTAGGGGTTTTCAGACTAAGCTCAAAGCTCTGCATATACCACATTCACTTTATGTTGAGTCTTTAATGGGAATAAATCTGTGGGATAAACACGTGCTGTTTCCATTCCAGTTTCTGAATCAGCGTAAGGCTACAAGGGGAAAAAAAAAATGTTTTCGCCTTTAGTGAAGGCTATATTTTTGATAATTGTGATAATAGGTTATTGTTAAATTTGGATGAAAATATATTTATCGAATTCACAACTTTCTTTTCTAATCAACCAAGTCTCAAGGAAATAAAGAAAGAGTTCGAATTATTCAAAATAAATGTGTAATTTGAATATTTATTATTTATTTAATTTTTTTTTTTTTTTTTTTTTTTTTTAGGGTTCCACAGAATTCTTCCATTTCCAAGCCTGTCATGGAAAAATACTGTAATTTTGTACATCATGTAATTTACTTAATATGAAAGATACGTTGTTACATAAACGTATATAAATAAATAATAAACAACGGCATATTATAATGATTGCAATATTACTTTTACAATACCGTAAAATATTATAAGTTTAGTTCATTTGGGGGCGTGTGGCACATTGGGTGGGGAAAATACGTTGCAGATGACGTAAACACGTCTGTATATAAGCCCACATAAGTTTCCGGAATCTCAGTTCCTTCCGCAGTTACGATGGGATCTCAAGTGTAGTGTAAACTTTATCTTAATTGGAATTCAGTTAATTTTAAATTACTCACTAGACGTAAACGCGTTAATTCGTGTTTCACCCGCTTGCAAAAATGAATATTATTAATTCTCCAGCGAAGAGGACGGCTTTGAAACTCTCCACCGTGGGCTTGTTCCTGCCTCAAAATGGAGTCGCGGAGGGGAATATGCACTGTGGAGCTACAGATTCTTCCGCGCAGATGCCTAGGCCTGCAAACATGGACACTCGTAAAGGGAATACGGGCTCCGGCGCCTCTTCACACGCGCGACCAACAGCTTTAGTAATGAAAAACGAACTTGTAAATAAAAATTTGCCTGAGGATTACGAGAACTCGGGGGATTCTCTGCCCTGTACGCCGGAGTTCCACTCGGACAGCGAAATTGAGCTCTCCGGCTACTCGGCGGAGCACGAAGTGTTGGAGAGCGACACGAGGCAGCTTCTTAGCGATTTTTTCAAGCTTTTTACGGGGATTTCACAGTCGAAGTGGAAACAACGCCCAGCTTTATCCACGATGAAGAGGGTGGTCGACAACCTTTTGGAAAAGCACAGATACGCATATAATGGTAAGTCGGATCAGCCTGTACGCCATATACAAAGGAGTCGTGGCAGCTAAGCTAACGCGTAACTGGCGGTTTGAATTACTCCTAGGCTACTACAGTGTAATGACTGAGATGCTGCCATGGCTTGCTGGGGACTACGTAGTTTCAAAATGGGCTTTGAATCCTTGTATTTCCTGAAGTTTAATGAAGGAACTGTCACCAACTGCCAAATACTGGAGTTAATTATTTTCAAACATTACCAGGTTTATGATTTTCTCTAAAATATTCCACTATTTTACTCCACAATATTTAGTTATACTTTGAAACATCTCAGTCATAGAGGGTGTTTTCATCAATGGCTCAAATGGACCTTTCCAAGTTTTGTGTCTAAACTTGATTTTCTAATTTCACAGGAATGATAAACAAACTATCTCTGGACGACAGGGGAGATGACGTATCGTTCATTAGCACAGTAGCCAAGAGTATCTTTGAAGATGGCACCACCAACTGGGGTCGTATTGCCAGCCTGATAGCCTTCGGGGCTGTGGTGTGCCAGTACCTGAAGACAAAAGGACGAGAAAGCTGCGTAGAGCAAGTGGGTCAAGAAATTTCCTCATACCTTCTGATGGACCAACGAGACTGGCTAATCAGGAACAACTCCTGGGTAAGTTAGGACCAGTGCTTGAAAGACCGGATGTAGCTAGAAAAAAAATGTCTGGTTGCATAACTCCAAACAAAGGAAGTGGTTCTGGGGAATGTGGCCTTCACTAAATTTGACTTTTTTTCAATTTCAGGATGGTTTTGTCGACTTCTTCAGAGTAGAAGACCCAGAATCAGCAGTGAGGAGCACACTTATGGCTGTAGCCGGATTAGCTGGTATTGGTGCAACGCTGGCCATGCTGATAAGGTGAATGCAGTGGACTATTAAAAAGACCTTTTGTCACATGTTGGATGTCATCACTTTTTTGACACAAAGATGGAAATGAGAGCAATGTTCCTTATTTTGAACTTTGCAAAGACACACACTTGGACATTTTTTGAGACTTTTAAAGTTGTATTTAATCACAAAGATGGAAATGAGAGCGATGTTCCTTATTTTGAACTTTGCAAAGACACACACTTGGACATTTTTTGAGACTTTTAAAGTTGTATTTAATTTCAAAGTTTATTTTTCTAATAAATGTTAAAAATGCCTCTATGCAAAATGGTTACAGGTCTCAGTTGATCTGAAATCTGCTGTTGATTATGTTTACTTTGAGAGACTGCTATTTTGGGAATCAATGGATAAAACAGAGAGCACAAGGCTGTTTCCGTGTTTTTCACAATTTCCATAAATAGGCCTGGATCTTCATTGTGTGGACACTTGAACATGTCAGAGGAGGAGGGGCAGATTTGCATGAGAGTTGGGAGTGCTACTTCCGTGTCACTTTAAATATCGAGGATTGGCACTAACTAACCGGAAGTGTCCTGGACTTTTCAGAGCTGTGGGCTGAGTTGGACACTTGTTCTTTGATTTGCCCCTGAGTTCTTAAATTGAGGAGGGCTATCATAATAGTCTTCTGTGATTGTGAAAGTGCAGAAGTTGGATTTGTGATGGTAATGATACAATTATAAGTTAATTCCAATATATTCGAACCACACATTTTCCCAGCAGTGAATAAATGGCAGCATTCACACATATTTGTGCTTTTGGATTTGTTTTACTCTTATGATTTTAAATAAGACAATATTTGCAGTAGGTTTAATACTTTTGGTTTCACTCATCGCAACATTTCCTAGAAATGAAAGGCGGAGCTGTGGTTAAACTGCGCAAACTTCAGCCTGTATTTGTTGTGCACTGCAGATTTTTTCTCGTGTGACGCTTGAGCAACAGTGAAATATAAGTTAGAATTGGGTTTCAAGATCAGCCTATTATATAACATCTGCACTATGGACAGACTCAGTGCAGCTATAGCAGCTTTTCCAGTACTTTGGTACATCTGCCAGCAGCAATTATAAATAGAAAACCATTTTGAACCATTTCCTTCAGTAGTTTAGCTATGATTTTAAAAAAAAAATATAGGAATGTATGTATAATCAATGTATAAACTATGTAATGTATACAGAATATACTTCTTGAGACTTAAGTAATCTAAGCAATGGGCAATGCATCAAAATTTAGCTCTTGGCTCCTGAGTAGGATCCCTGAAAGAGTCTGGGATTTCAAAATGGGGAAAAAAGCAAATTTTTGACACTTTTAACTTATTGGGTGGCTTTGATGCAAAGGACTTGCTTCTGGTTTCATAAGTTAATTAGGAAGATGCTTAATAAATATGATTTAACTTCATCCTTTACTGAACTATACCTCAACACCACATTTGCAGAAGTGGAATACATTTACTTACATTACTGTTTTATCAGTAATGGAGTGGGACTTTGATACTGGTGGTAAAAGCTTCAGACTTTGGGCATTGTGTAACTTTTCTGGTGGAGTGTCTGTCAAATGCTTGTCTCCATGGAGATGTTATTGCTTTGCCTGTAATGTTTCACAGTATGGCATTAAGCCTTAAGAGAGGTAACCCTGCCCACAGTCAGAATTCTGGATATTTTTGAGTTATAAAATTATCTGTAAGTGAAAAAATGTAAGATAGAGCTGTTTAATGTCATACTGTGGAACATTCCAGGCAGAGCAGTGACATATCCACAGAAACAAACAGTTGACGGACCTCCAACCAAAAAGTTAGTATAGTGCTTCTTTTAAGTTTACATTTTGGGATTTTAATTTCATCAAGACTTGTCCTTCATGTGAATCCAACCCAATCCGGCCTGGAGCGGGGGGAATCCTTCTCTTCACATCCGACTGCACCCTTGTTTGTTCAGATGGCCCTGTTGTCTTTGGTTACCGAGCAAACAGATCACGCTTCCAGGTCCTTGGAGGAGAGTGGAGTAGACGCTTTCTCCTTGGTGATGAGCCTCTGCAGACCTGCTCCATTCCTCTCCTGCGGCTAAAGGCCCTCCACCCTGGTAAGCCTCTCCTGTGCTCATTGTGAAGAACAGGCACAGTTAGTAGTTAGTGATTGTCTCTGGGGATTTGCAGGCTGAGGCAATCTCTCTCAGCAGCTTGCACCATATAGAACATATACACAAGTGGATTGGGTGAGCTCAAAACATCCAGGCGTGTGCGGCGTCTTGGGGGCGTGCATGCAAAGTAGTTCTTCGAATGTCTCCTTGATGGTAGACATGCATTATTTACATTCATGCATATGTGTTTTTCACCTGCATGCATGCGAGCTTGGAAACTAATTAGAAAGCACTGGGTGTTATGTGTTGGCATTATCAACTGCAACGATTCAAATTTGCATGTGTAATGAGTTCTGTGGAACAAGTCTAATTTGCACGATAGAAGGCTGTTTGCAATATGTAATCAAATAGTGCAACAAAATTCATATGAGATTATATAAGAGTTATTTGTGCCGGTCCTAAACATGCAAAAAATATGGATAATTGAAACTAAACTTCATGATAGTTGAAACATAAAAAAAACTGCCTTTTGGTAGATGCATACCAGACATTCTCAGACATAACTTTGGTTCTGCTAGGCAAAACAAGTTGAATAAGACATTGCAAAGATTATAAAATGTGTGTATGCTTGACAATCAAACTATTGTCAGATTTTGTTAAAAAGCTACTAAAGTTATTTTGCTGTACCATTTGGAGAGCTGAAAAACATAGTTGACCACACTTGAAACATTTGTGTCCAGGTTTTTGGACTTTTCACGTCTTAAAGGTGCACTATGTAACTTTATGGTTGGGGGTGTGTCACCTTGTCGCTTGTTTCTATGGATATGTCACTGCTCTTCTGGAATGTTCCACAGAATGACATTAAACAGATCTACCTTACATTTATTCAATTACAGGTGGTTTTATAGCTCAAAAATACTTTGAAGAACAGACATTCTGACTGTGAGCGGTGTGGTCTGGTTTGGTCTCCATGAAGACAGAAAGGTTTAATGCCATACTGTGAAAGATTCCAGCCAAAGCAATAACATCTGACATTTGATGGACGCTGCATGAGAAAAGGTACACAATACACCTTTTAATAAGCTGCCTTTTCTACTTGTTTCTACTCATTATTTGAACAAAAACTCTGCTTCAATGCATTTCTATCAAAGCCCAAAGAGTTACTTGTTCTATTCGCTTTGGTATCTTCTCCTTCAAAGCCTAAAAAGTGTTTATACTGTCATTGAAAGTTAAAGGTGCATTGGAGGGTCCATCAAATGCATTTCTCTATGGAGATGTTATTATTTTGCCTGGAATGTTTCATAGTATGGCATTAAACCTTTCTATCTCCACGAAGACCAAACCAGACCAAGTTACAGGTCAGATCTGTGGAGAGGGAACCCCGCTCAGAATGAGAACACCTGTTTGTCTAGGTCATTTTGAAGCTATAAAACCATTTGTAATTTAATGAATGCAAAGTAGAGCTGACATGTCCACAGAAACAAGGAGGTGACGGACACTCAAATAAAAAGTTACACAGTGCATTCCTGTTTTTGAAGTGAATTGTTAGAAAAGTACTTGAAAACATGCACAAAGGAGCACTGCAGCTGTGTACTTTTGAGAAAACATGTGCAGGTGATCTTGCATTCCAGGCGTGGGATAGTTACAGGGAGTGGTTTACAATAATCCTAACCTCCCAGCCACAATGGTACAGGACATTTAAGCAACCTGGTATTGATGACAGTTTCAACTTTACCAAAACAAATGCATAAGTTATAGTTATAGCAGGCCTGTCAGAATTGCAAATATTGAAGTGTGATATATGGCTGAAGTTAATACAGACGATAAGAGCAGGTTTAAATCATAAAACTATTCTAAATGTACAATACTGTTAAAAAACATCAGCTGAAACTAATAAATAGTAGAATTAATCGCTTTAATACTTACTTTGCACCTGTATTGAGTCATAGAAGTTATCAAGACACATCATATAACCAAATAAATATCCCAAAAAATCTCCATGGTGCAAAGAAAAAGTACACAGATCCCAATCAGAACAGAACCTAAAAATATTGTTACAGCTTTCATATACTGAACGAGAAGTCAGTATAGTAATTATCGTGACAGGCCTAACTTCCAAAATGCTCCAGATCTAACTTTTATATTTGGACAGATGTTTGTGCAAACTATTGACAGAGGCACAGCAAATTCATAAGTTTATACTCAAACTGTTTCCTTTTTTATTTTGGCAAAGCTGATCATTTTACTTCCTGGTTGCTCACAGACAGCAGTGTTACATACATCTCTTCTACTTCCTGTATTTTTGCAGTTTTCATCTAAAAATTTTCCGCAGGCTTTATTGATCTAAACCCTTAATACATAAGAATAAGGAGCAGGACTTGCAAACCTGTAATATGCACACTAAAGATGCACTGTGTAACTTTTCGTTGGGGGGCCCTCACCTGCTTGTTTCTATAGATATGCTACTAAGCCTGGAATGTTTTGCAGCATGGCTTTAAACAGCTCTACTTTGGATTTATTCAGTTACAGGTGGTTTTATAACTCAAAAATACTGAGAAAAACATGCATTCTGCTGTGAGCGGGGTCGCCTCTCCTCTCCATAAATCAGACCTGTAACTTCTGGTTTGGCCTCCATGATGATATAAATATTACTATATTTACTCTACAGCGACGCATTCCAGACAAAGCAATAACATCCACATGGAGAAAAGCATTTGACGGAACCTGCACCAGAAAAGTTACACTATGCATCTTTAAGTAAGCACAACTGCAGAGACAAGTGTGTTTGAGTGAGTGACTACTTTCTTTACACAGACAGACTATTCTATATAATGCAATATAGTGCTTATAGAGAATTGTAATTTGAGCTGAGAGGAACAGCTTTAAACAGACAGAGCAGAGCAGAGGCCCCACTTCCTCCTAGCAACAAGCCGCCCCCTTGTTTTAAAAAAAGCTGCAGTTCTGGGAAGTCAGCTGACGCACAACGTTATCTACCAGCAGAAGCAGCGTAGCGCACACTTACTTGTTATACAGTTCAGATACTAGGAACTCTTTTCTGTGGTGGTGAGATAGCCCACTTTTCACACTTCACAAAACAGAAACTAAGATCTAAAGTTGTTGAAGTTTAATCTTGTCGACTCAAACTAGTAACTTTCCATGACTATGTTTTGCAGAAAAGTCAGTCAAAATAGTGTTCCATACAATGCCTTTTTTAAACCATGGCAATATTATAGAAGCCGCCCCGAATTATTTTTATATGCATTTTGAGAGTTTTTCAAAAATAGTCTCTGTTTAATTGATTTTATGTATTTTTGTACTTAATTGATTTTATTTATTAAATTTTTTTTATTATTATTTTATTTATTATATTATATTTTTTGCTTTTATTGTATTTATTTTTTGTTATAATAATAAAATATTTATTGTAACATTATTTATTATTTTATATATATATTTAATTATTTTTATTTATTTATTTTTCTATTTATTTATTCATTTTAAGATTAACAACCTTCAGAGCCATTTTTGAACAATGTGAGGTTTTGTAACAACAGTCAACTAAATATATCATCTAAAACTATTATTATTATATTAAGCACAAATTACAATTCAAAAGCAACAATTTGAGAGACACAAGGGCCCCCTTTTAACCCTTTATGTGGAGGTTTTACCTTGCTTGA